GCAATTCCCGGCTGAAGCCATTAGCAGGCGATGCAGACTCCGCATATTCAAAGGGAATACGCCACCAATGCCAGGTCCATCCAGCCCACATTCTGCTTCATCAGTGGCACACTCACGCATTCTGAACCCGCTTCGGATTTCCTCCACCTAATCAGAGACAGGCTCATTCCTGCCGACTCCAGGTGGAGCCCAGCCTGGCTGTGGCCATTCTTCCCCTGTAAAATGGCTCCCACCCTCTAGATCACAGCCTGCATCCCTTCACTGGTGTCCAGCCTTTTACAGATGATCTGATGATCTGCGCTTGGGCTTGCAGCAGAGCAGATGGGCTGTAGCAATAAGACAGCTGTACTGCCACAGACCCTTGCTAGTGACTGGTTAGTGTGCAGATCACATCCCAGTTGTGCCAGGACCCATTTCCTCAGCCCCTTGCAGCAGTCACTGATCTGGTTTAAGAGGATTTTTTTTCTTTTTTTCTTTTCAGATTCGGACAAAGTGGATTCCTCTGGTGAATGGGGGAGTTGAAAAGGGCTCCAGGTACTGTACTCAATGTCACCTGGGTGGAGCCTAGTTGGAAAGAGGGAGTGTTAGTATCCCAAAGGACTGGCTCTGTGCCCCTGCTTCCCTTGTTTTCAGCCTGTGGCTGTATGCACAGGTACTGGGCTCAAGTCTGCCACTTGCTGAGGAACTGGGGGATTCCCCAGGGCAAGTATTTTGGTGCTTCCTTCGGAGCTGCCTCCTCTGTGAAGTTCCTGAGAGCTGCAGTCAGCAACATCTCTATAACATGTGTCCCAGCTGGCCCTGCTAGGGTCTTCTCCTACTTGGGTCTTGCTGGCTCCCAAAAAGGAGGATCAGCTGCCAACAGTCCTCCCCTCCAGTCCTGCACATGCTAGGTAGGCATGGCATTGCATTGCTGAGTCAGGGCAGGACTGTGGAGGCCATAAGCATGGATTGCTCAGGGGTAAGGCCTTCTCAGTGTGCTGTTTAAAAGGTCCCTGGGTGCATCCCAGCTGTCTGGTGAGGATCAGACAGGCTGACTTGCTGCTGTTGTTGCAGCTGTAGTCGTGGTGGCTGGCAGTGGGAGAGCAGTCACAGTGCCAGCTGAGCATGGAGGCTGACTGCCCTTCCAGCCAGTTGCCCTTTAAGCATGTGTGGAATGTTACTGGTCAGGGGAGCAGTTGCGTCAGTCATTGCTCTCTGTGATGGCCTTTCTTCTCTTTGCCAGGATCCCAATCATCCTAGTGGGGAACAAGTCTGACCTGCAGCCTGGGAGCTCCATGGAGATCATTCTGCCCATCATGAACCAGTTTTCAGAGATCGAGACCTGTGTGGAGGTGGGAAATCAACAAGGGTGTTTACATTCATGGTGGTCGGTGGAAAGAGGGGAGTCAGGTCCCTCCCCAGAAATCTCTACTGATTATCCAGGAGGCTTCTTTCCTGCTTTCATGTGCTGTCTCCATAGCAACGAAGAAGAATATTCTTTGCCCTGATTCAGCTCTGCCCTCCCAACTCTGATCCCTGGAAGCACCACCCATGTTTCCTAGGCTCTGGGGAATTCCTCTACCTTCCTACAGAGCTGGGCCCTCTTGGTGGACACCACTGCCCCCTACAGCAAGGAGGGTTTAGTCTCTGCTGGCCTCCATCTCTGGTCCCAGAGGAGCACGTGGAAGGGATGTGCTTTCTCCCCTGGAACTTCATCAGAATTCTCAGCAGCTTCAGGGTGTGTGCAGTAGACCCAGTAACACCAGCACAGGAATGGGGAGTTTCCCTTCTCAGTTTGTTTCCTAGTAACTGTCTCTGACTTGACTCCGTGCTTTGATCCAGTACCTGCCTGGAGCAGCTCCCTGTGATCTCGGCTCCTCTGTCTTCCCTAGGAGCCTTCATGCTCTCACAGCCCCTTTCTCTGTCATTGCACTAGTGTTCTGCCAGGAACTTGAAGAACATCTCTGAGCTGTTCTACTATGCCCAGAAAGCTGTGCTGCACCCAACCGCCCCCTTGTATGATCCAGAGGAGAAACAGGTAAGAGAAGCTGTCCATCCCACCCCACCCCCAGTCCACCTCACTCTTGTTTGGGGAGGAGCGGGGGTTCTCCCTTCCCAGCAGCCTCTTTAGATACAACCCCCAGCAGCTGAATCCTCTCAAATGTTTGAGAGGATCATAAACCCTTTTACTCTTAAATGCCACCTGCCTCTCCTTATTCTTGAGTTGCCAGTCACTAAGCCAGTCCTGACAGTTGGCAGAGCTAGTTTGTCAGCCGCTGCTCCCCCCTGCTGATCAAAGAGCTCTTTTCCTCACCCGGAATCCAAAGTCCCTCTCCTGCCTGGCAGTGTCAAAGTACATTGATATGTTAGATTGCCAAGTGGTATGGGGTGATTTAGAGGTTTGGGGATGTCTGGTGCAGAGACAAACTGCCTCAGAGAAGGGCAGCATGATATTTCTCTTCACCTCATCCTGGGGCACAATCACAAAGGGATGTTCAGTGCTGTGGACGGAGAGCAAATTGGAGATCAGAAAAAGAAATGCTTCCATAAGTGTAACTAGCCAGTGGACCTCCTAGTCCCTGGATGCCATGCAGCTTCACAGGGCTTTGGAACTTACTAGACATCCTTGCGAACAGTCTCATTCTTTACCTTTTCGTGCAGCAGATAGAAGTTAGGCCCTTGTTTTTGAGGGCATAAGCAGCTGGGGAATGACAGGCTTAGAAAGAGACTTGCCTTGCAGGTTGACTGTTACTGGCCCCTTACACCTACATCTAGAGAACTGGTGCTGGCTGCCTGGACTAGTTTGCTCTCTGCCCTGGGCCAAGAATGCCTCAATGCAGGGTGGGGCAGGGTGTGGGCAGGCGGGGGTCCAGGAGCATCACTCTGACAGCTGCTTTCCCCAACACATGTCACTTGTTATGCCCACAGCTGAGACTGGTGTGTGCACGAGCACTCACACGAATATTCAACATCTCAGACCAGGATAATAACCAGATCCTTAGTGACGATGAGCTCAACTGCTTTCAGGTATGGTCAGATCCAGACATGGGCTTTGCTGTTCTGGCCTGTGATATATCCCCATGGTCACTAATGGTTTCCTCTGCAGGAGTCGCCTCCTGCCTACCTGTTTTCAGCAGCTGTGCACCCCTTCTCCAGGCTTCTATAACTCCTCTAGTTCCTGTTTCCTTCTAACACCAGGAGAAACAGCAAATTCTTTGTGTGGCCCATAGAAACCTATTTGAACTTATCCTCCTGTGGGATCAAAGTTAGAGAGAGCAGTTAGGATGCATTTTCTAGCACTGAGAACTATTCATCTGTCTGCAGACAAGTCTCAGGCATGCCACCTGCAGTCTTGGTAGCATTTGCTCTATGACAGGAGAAGCAGGCAATCCCTAGAGAGCCAGAAAGATTCCTGCTGCATGGCCAAGCTGAGGAACTGGGGGAGTTTTATCAGGAATGAGGCAGGATTGGCAGCCCATGAGATGAATGGATTGTACTTTTCAAGAGGGCACTACTGTCCTGTGGAGGTGAGAGCTTACAGTATGCAAGGAGCACAAGGATCAGGTTGTGAGAGCTTTGCGAGGGTGAGCTGGGTAGGGAATGGAGTAAGACTAGGTGGCTCTGGAAAGAGCGGTAGGGGAGAGGGGGAGATTGTAATTTGCCACTGGGGTTCCCTGACCAGACCCTTGTCTCTTGGGAGGTAGAAGTCCTGCTTTGGGAACCCCCTGGCTCCCCAGGCCTTGGAAGACGTGAAGATGGTTGTGTGGAAGAACACTACAGATGGGGTACAGGACAACGGCCTGACATTAAATGGTAACTGAAGCAGAGAACTTTTTGCTAGTACCACTGTTCCCTCCAGAATGATGCTCCTGGGCTCTAGCATGTGGGAGACAAACTGCCCTGGACAGAGAAGTGCAGCAGCTCTCCATCAGCACCTGGTGTGGGCTGTGCCCTTCTATGCTCTGCACAGACTGTACTTGAAAACCTAACTGGGCCATCCTTGCATGAGTTTGCCCTTGACATGGTGCCCCAAAGCCTCCTGCATTAGTCTTCCCTGCAGGCTGCCTGATGGGGCTGAGCAGATGCTGCTGTTCCATGCTTGTATTGCCAGTGCTATTCCATGAATGTCTGCCTCGTTTTCTTACTGCAGGCTTCCTCTTCCTGAACACGCTCTTCATCCAGAGGGGACGGCACGAGACCACGTGGACCATCCTGCGACGTTTTGGCTATGATGATGAGCTGGAGCTGATGGATGACTATCTCTACCCACAGTGAGTATCTGGCCCTTCCAGGTGCAGTCTGATGTTTGGTGTCCCTCTGAGCTGTCCAAGTGATCCTTGTTTGAGAGCCTCCATGTCCTTCTCTGAGGCAGCTGACTCCTCCAGAAGGGTCACCAAGCAGTGAAGCTTCCTTCCTATATATCTGTATACCTTCTTCCCCCTCAGCCTGCAGAAACAGGAGTTGGTGTCCATCCCAGGGACAGCCCAGAGCATGCAGTCTGGTTCTTTGACACAAGCATGTTCATGCTTCTCATCCCAGCACTTGTCCACACAAGGCAGGACAGGAGGGGAGGGCTGTTTGGCAAATTAATGCAGCCAGCACAGCTGCCTTGGCGCTGTCATTTCTGCTGCTGGCTATGCTGCAGGCAGTGTGGGGGGCAAACGGGGACATGCCTGCAATTCCCTCTCGAAATCAACTAGAGGCGTTCCCCCTCCCTCCAGCACTGTGTGGAACAATAAACTGTCAGCTTAGCATTCTGCTAGGATGCTGCATCTGCAGCCTTCTCTCTGATCCTGACACACCCCCAGAGGTGCCGTTCCAGCTCTAATGAAAGGGTTCAAATTGTGAGCTAGAGAATCCTATAGCCAAAGCAGGGTTCCTGGAGATATAATAGGGTTCATGCTGTCAGGAAAGAAACTACTGTAACAAAAGCCCCATCGCATTGCCTCTTGCTGGAATGCTGGTGCTTTGAGCTCCAGGCTCAACAAAAATAGCTCAGCAGGGGCTATGGCAGTTCCAGTCCTTACACGAGCTTCACAGGGACCCAAAAGCTATGTGCCCCCTGTGAGTCTGGGCACCCAAGCATCTCCAGCTGAGAAGTGCATTGCCAGCTAGCTGGGAACTTAAGGACTACACTGGACTTCATTGATTCCAGCCAGGCTGCTGGGATTGAGAAGAGGGCATTGCAAGCGGGGACTGTGGCCTCTGTATGAAACAGCCCTCAAGGGTTGTGTTCTGTCCTGCCCTGCTGTCTTTGCTTGGGAAATTGGCACCAGCTCCCCTGGTATGCCCAGGTGGCCATTCAACACGAAAGGAAATTCAGCAAAGATTCAACTGTTCATTGGAACAGGTTGGCTTTTTTCAGACCATGTGTGAGTGCAGCAAGTACCATTCTGGGGTGGGGCAGATTCTGTCTTCTGTACTGCTTTGTGCTATAGCCAGATTAGGGCTGGGGCAGTCCTTGGATGAGATACAGGGGCTGTGCAGTGGTTCCTGCACTCCTACCCCAGTCCCCGTGTTCAGGAGGGGGAAGCCAGAGAGCAGAATTACCAGCCTGGGAATTAAGAGTGTCCACATGTGGCTTGTCAGCCGGTGATGCCAGCTTGTTCCCTCTCCCTCTTTGCAGGTTCCGGGTGCCCCATGACTGTTCCACTGAGCTGAATCACTTTGGCTACCAGTTCCTGCAGCGGATGTTTGAGAAGCACGACAAGGTGAGTGGCGCCTGACAGGGCACGGGGAGGCCGGGTCACTGTTGGGACATAGTTCCTCTGGGAATGCTTTCATGCTCTAGCACAGACCCAGCTGCCCCGGCATCCTTGGACACAGCTGCATAAGTGCAGCTGCTCTCACACATAGTCATGTCTGTTTCCTCTGTCCTTGCATTCTCCTTCCTTGAGGCAGTTGGGGGAAGCCAGCTAAGGGCTTTCCTCTTCTGCACAGTACATTCTCACAGCTTTGCACTTGACACTGCAGGATTCAGAGGATATTTTTGCAACTCACCATATCCACAAATGAAAGTGATCTCTGCAAAACTCAGCTGAAACCCAACACGGCAGCCTGCTGAAGTGTCCTGTCAAGAGCATGGAATCCCAGTGCTCCGATCATTTGAAGCTTGATTAGGCTCTTAGGGGGTAACCAGTAGAGTCTGAGCTCTCTGGTGGCTGGGCCTGGATTGTCTGTCAGGCTGTTTCTTTCTGTCTATAACTTAACTTATTGGTCCATAACTTGCCCCAATAGTGTGATAAAGGGAAGGCGGGGGTGGCCGGAGGGGGCAGGCAAGAGAGAGCCACCCTGGCAGCTGGCCCATAGCTTCAGAGCAATTATAGATGACCACATACCTGACAGCCTTTGATAGCATGGGGTCCACCGATGGAAGGAGAAAGCAAATGACTGCCTTTTCCCAGCTCTTCCAAGAATGAGAGGGGAGAGCATGCCTGATGTTCATGCAGCTCCTCCATGTGGCTTTGCGAGCCACCCTGGTATCACAGTGCTGAGTGTGACATCGGGACCCAAGTCCTTGTGTGCTCCGGAGCAAGACAAAGCTCTGGTCTTTGGTGTGGCAAACTCATAATGCTGCTGCAGTTCCCTTCACATTGAGTTCAGTGTGAAGGCAAACAACTGTCAGTGCAGTGCTCTCCAGGCTCTTGTTTCAGGGGTTAAATTCCACATATTTCACACTGCCCTTGCACTTCCCCACAAAAGCTAGCAACTGACTGATTGGTGGGTGGCCCCTGGGAAAGTGGAGAAAGCACTGTGGGATGGCAGGAGAACACATGTGAAAGGATTTAGCAGTGAAATCAGAGCTCTTGAAACGACTGTCTTTCAACTTCAACTGTCTTTCAACTTCGGGGTTAGCACTGCATTGTGATGAATAGGGTTGGGTTCTCATGATGTAGCACCCTGGTTCAGGCTCTGCAGACTGTGAAAGACACAGTAGCCTTGTTTATAGCTGGTTGGTGTTTTCAAGGTCTCTTTGCAACTACGACATTTTTAAACGACAGCTTAAATTCTGCAGCGTAATTCTGCAGCAGCAAGTAGCTTCTGTAGCAAAGGATGCGGCCGCAGGATCAGAGTATATGGGACCCAGAGGCCCAGATAAATAACTGTCCTAATTAGCCTCTGTGTGTGTGTGTGACAGTGCTCCTGCTTCCCTCACAAACCCTCCCTTTGCATTGCCAGGACCGGGATGGAGCACTCTCACCTGCAGAACTGCAGAGCTTCTTCAGTGTCTTCCCCTATGTGCCCTGGGGGCATGAACTCTACAACACGGTATGCACCACTGATAAAGGCCTGCTTTCCCTGCATGGATTCCTCTGCCAGTGGACGTAAGCGCAGTCTCTCTCCACCCTCCACCCCTTACACCAGTTCACATTGCACTTCCCTGGCTCTGTCAGGGTTTCTTATAACTGGTGACGTCCTCTTTGCATGCACCCGCAGGCTGGTGGCCTATCTGGATGTCCATCACTGTCTGGAGTACCTGGGTTACCTGGGCTATCCCATCCTCTCTGACCAGGACTCTCAGACACACGCCATCACAGGTATGTCATCCCTCCAGAGCTTCCCAGCATTGCCTTGGGTATTCACCCTACTGCTTGGTGGCTAACTCCAGCTTCTCTCCTTCCCCTACTCCAGTTACCCGGGAGAAGAGAATTGACCTGGAGAAGGGCCAGACCCAGAGGAACGTCTTCCTCTGTAAGGTGATTGGCCCCAGAGGCACAGGCAAGTCTGCATTTCTACAGGCCTTCCTGGGGAGAAACCTGCCCGTGAGTATAGATGCACTGCTTGTCTCCGGCATGTAGTAGGCAGGGGCTGGGACCCTCAGCCTGTTGAAGATGGAAGAAAATTGAATAGGCCATCTGTTTGATCTCAGTGCTTGGTGCATGTTTGTTCCCTGCAGTACATTCCCTACTACTCAGCTCTTAAGTTGTCTGAATAATGGACCTTCCACCACTGTCTTTTAACACAAAATATAGGAGGGCAACCAGTTCCTTCTATTTGCTTTTCCCTATGCCAGTAGGCCTACCTGCCTGAGGCTCTGGAGGAAGAGCCCCTTCCTGGAGTGGGTGGGTGGGTGGATGGATGGATGGGGAAGCAGCTAAACTTTTTGTTGGTGTGACTGAGTTCATAATTGCTTCTAGTGTTGTGAATTTAGGTGTCCTCCCTGTCTTGGGGGCAGCACCATGTTCTGACAGCCCAGGGGACCTGGATCTATGTCCATGTGTTAGTTTTGCCTCCATTACCAGGTTGCTGTAGTGCTGGCAAGCTGTCAGTAGACTTAAACATCGTACCTCCAGGTGTGCTTTCCTTCTAACGTCTGCGTTGCTGTTTTCCCCTTGGTGCAGACACAGATGGAGTCCCCGGGAGACCTGTCCTTCCATGCCATCAACACAGTACAAGTCAACAGCCAGGAGAAGTATTTAATTGTAAGTCCTGTGCAGCAGAACATTGGGGCTGGGCTTTGGAGTGAAATAGCTGCTTCTTCTGCCCAGGGGAGAGCACGGAGGGGATTTCCGTGGCTGTGCTGAGAGGGGAAATCTGCAGCCTGATTCCCGGTCCTCTGCCATAGTCGCTAATCACAGAAACCTCTGGGACATCTGCTTTGGCACCTGCCTTCACACACTATTCCCATGCCTGCTTTTGTGGTGGTACAACCTGTGCATCTCTACAAGGAGCCTCACATCTTCTAGACCCTCTGAGATCTCACTAGGTGTGCACTGGGCTGTCTGCTCTTGTGTTACCTTCCCTCTTGTTTCTTGTAATGCAGTTATATGAGATTGACGTGGACACAGAGTTCATGAAAGCATCCGATGCAGCCTGTGATGTTGCCTGCTTAATGTACAATGTGAATGACCCCAAATCTTTCAACTACTGTGCCAGCATTTATAAGGTAAGTGGCATGACCCTGTGTGACTCCAACCACATCCTCGCCTGATCTGCAGCCATGATTCCCTGAAGCAAATCCACGCCTTAGTAAATGGTCCAGGACATAACTTGCCAGGTGGAGAGGGTTGAGGTTGGTGAGGGGTCCCATGTGTTATTTAACATCTTGACAGCTAAGCTGTCAGTCTAGCCCAACCATCTTGTAGCAGAAGTCCCTTGCAGCAGAAGTTCCTTGCTGACCTGCAAGGTGATCTTTCCTTTGCTCAGTGCCTGCGTTATGTTACTCTGGCCTCATCCCAGCTCTGAATTCTCCCTTTGTAGCAATAATGATCACCAGGGATCCTGGATTTCTCTGTTTAAAAAATCCAAAATTCTGTGATAAAAAATAAAACCTCTGAGAGGGATGGGGTGTGGGGGGGTATAGATATCTAGAAGTAGATATAGATATCGAGAGAGAGCGGTGTCAGTTAAACACAAAGTTTTATTGATACATTTACAATTTTAAAGCAACTTGGAAGCCTAGCAGTGCCTCAATCATTATAATATAATAAATTCTAAAACCCCCCATATATTTTGGCATTTGATTTTGGTTTTTTTATCATGGAAAATCAGAGCTCCCCCTCCCCCTTAGCTCACCAGGATGGAGGTTCAGCTGCACCTGTGCCCCCACTGCTTCATGGAGCTGAGCAGCCCTGATATGCCAGTGCCCTGCCTATGCCAGTGCTCCCACTCCCGACCCTCAGCCCCCCTGCCCACCTGGCAGTAGTGAGGGGGCACAACTCCACACCATTGCCATGGTGCCTTACCTTAATGACCATAGTGGCAGGGCTCCCAGTGGCAGCAGCGTGGGGTGTGCCCCCTGGTGGTGCTGGGCAGGCAGGGAGCACCTCACCATGGTGGCTCCCACACAGTCCTGCCTGCTGTGCCCTATCCGGTGGCCCCCTGCCTGCGGCTCCTACCTGGTGCTGGTCCAGCAAAGCTGCAGCCCCTGCCCCACTTTGGGTGCAGAAATGTGAGGGCACACGTGCCCCCCCATACCCCTCCCCATGCATCATCAGTAGGCCCAACCCCTACCTATGAGTGCATGTGGTGGCAGAGAGCCACCTGTGGTTCTCTCCCGCTCCCTGGCCGGGCTCCACGGCCACACATTCCCACCTTCTCCCGCCCCAGGCGTCACGCACTACCCCAGCTGGGCAGCGCCCGTCAGCCACCAACTGCCAACCGTGCCCTATTCCTCCCCTCACTGCATGGGCACAGCATGAGCCACCTCAGTTTCCCCATGCGTCACCTCTGCCCCCACTCCCATCGACTTGGCTGGAGGGAGCTGCTCTCCACCACACTGCCTAGCTGCCACGTGTATGTTTACATGTGCACATGCACATGGCATCCTCTGCCCCCTGCTTCCCCCAGCCCTAAACTGCCCCTTGCTCCTGGACCTTTGCCACCCTGCAAAGGGAAACCTGTGGTTTCCCAGGTTTTTCTCCTTTTAAGGGGAGCATCTATATTTTTCTGCAAGAAACAGAAAACCCAGATCCCTCATGATCACTTACCTGTGTCTCTCCATTGCACCCTTTGTTATTCTCCCATGCAGCAGCACTACATGGATGGACAGATTCCCTGCGTCTTTGTAGCCTCTAAATCAGACCTTCCAGAAGTGACTCAGCAGGATGGACTCTCACCGGCTGAGTTTTGCTACAAGCACCGCCTCCCGCCACCATTCTACTTCACCTGCTGCAGCCAAGGCCCACCCAGCACCGCTGTCTACAGCAAACTGGCCATGGCTGCCACCTTCCCGTTAGTAATAATCTCTCTGAACACAGAGACCTCTGCCATGGGCATAATGCAGGGTTGGGGACCTGGGCTGGGTCTGAGGGGCTGTGTCTGTAGACATTATCAGACAACACAGGAGGTGGAACAGGAGCTTAGATGATGAATGGAAGCATTTTCTGTCCACAGGGCACTTCTCATGCATCGGCTCATTCAAACTTTAGAGGCTTTTCTGTGCCTCTTATGCTGCAAGATCTGAGCATTATGCCCATACCTGTAAGCTCATTTTTCTAGCGTGCATGAGGTTGGGAAGTGTTAGCAGCCCTGTCTCAGGGCAACAGCTGTCCTCAGAGGTGGCTGCAACCACAGGGCTGGCCATCCTCTCCTACAAAGTGCAGTTAGCTTCTGCAGAGAAACTGTATCAAACCAGCTTTCTTGCTCAGTTGCTGCCACCTTGAGTGTCTTGCTTGTGTATAATTAAATGAAGAGTCTGTCATTTTTAGTTCAGAGCTGGGAGAGGGCCCAAAGTTCCCAGCACCAAATCCTTATTATTGATGCATGAGCTGAAATGAAGCTGATATGAGCATCCAATCCTGAGCTTGCAAGCATGGCTAGGGGAGAAACAGCTCTGATTTTTTCCCCCTGAAATTGATGATCAGAGTGGTAAGGAAGTCAACAAGACTGAGTCTCACAAGGCCGTTTGTGAGGAGTCCCTTTTGGAGTAGAACTTTGGTTCAGGTAGGTCACAGAGGCCCCTGGCAAACATTCATGTAAAGGCCCTGTGGGATCTGATTCATGATCCAACAACTGTACCTCCATCCAGGCTTACAAGTACATGGCAGGGGGCATAGTGGTGGGATCAGGGATTAGATCCCAACTGTACCAGTGCAGAAGGATCGTTATCCTGTGCTCCCCTCGCACTGGCAGGTTACAAGCCAGTCATCTGATTTCCAGCCTCTGGAGTTCACCGGAGCCTTTGACTCTGCTGTTCCCCACAGGCTGGGAGCTGTGATCAGCTGCTGCCTGGCTACATGAGCAGTGTAAGGTGCAATGGGAACCAGCCACAGTATTTTGTGTAATAATTTTACAGTTTATTCCTTGTTTCATTTTGCCATTAGTTGCATGAATGTGTGACTGGGTGACTAAAGACGTGATTAAATGGTTAATCATTTTTTAAGTGTAATGTCTGCCAGCAGACATAGGCAGGCAGGCTAAGGCTCAAAATGTAGGTTTGGTATAGGAAATGCCTGGACCCAGCTGCCTGTTTAGACCATACTAGCACCAGGAGTATGGAGGGAGGATCATTCTGGCTAAGTGTATGGAGTGAGGTACAGTCAAAAAACACCGTTGATTATTAAAACCAGAAGAACCTTAGGCAGATAAGAGACTTTTTCAGTTAAGAATTATTTTCTTCAGTCTCCATTTTTAGTGCTTTTAGACCCTTTCCTCTCCCCTCCCCATGGGAATAACTTTTAAATATTCCTAATACATCCAGGAAATGCGATATACATAAATAAAATGTGTAATGGAGGCCCTGGGATAGGTTGTTCTCTTCTGATTTGGCTTTATATGAATAATGTATGTTCTCTCCTCCTGGGAATGGAGTTTATAGGTCTCTGTAATGCAGGGTTGTTAAGGAAACTGCTCACATAGGGAGGCTTGGTCCCATCAACTAGTTCAGTTCCCCATCCTCTCTTAGTGCTTTCCAGTAACCCCATCTTCTCAGGAGCTGTCTGATTTTTCTTAATGTATGAAAATGTAAATGCAGCTTGACCTAGAAAGGCAGAGGCGTAACTCCTTGTTCGTACCAATTATTTAACTGGTGTTGTACTATTTATACCCTCCCTGAGAACAAGTGTAAAGGCAAAGGCTGTGTCCATTCTATCTGTGTCAGAAATGGATTTGGTGGGGAAGGAATAGGTTGGTTCCACGGTAGTCTGATCTCTTGAGGTGCCAAGAGTTTCCTGCAAGTGACGATGGAGCCTGGTCATGATGTGTGCTGTTCCCTTCCAGGCCCTTTATCCTCCTTCTATATTCTATCCTCAACTTAGAGCTAGTCAAAGCTTTTAAAAACCAAGAGCACGATCCCCACATTCCCTTTCCTGATCCAGCCAGAGAGCAGGGCAAAATTGTCACAGTTTCCCTGTACCACCAATCTAGGTACATGCTGTTGCTTTTCAGCTTCTCTGCTCTGCTGCTGGAATCAAGCAAACTGCAGACAAAACAGGCTGGCCTTACAGAAACACTGGGCCTTGGCTGTCAGCTACAAACAGAAGAGACCTAGGTGTGGTTTTCCACTTCTTGCTGTTTCTGTCTGGTGCACTGTGATCTGCACCATCTCCAGCACTGCCAATGACAATCCCCCTGGCCCAAGAGCTGCCTAGGAGAGTTTGTTTCTGGCCCAAGGTGCATCATTGGTCAGGAATGTCTTTAGGGCTTTGTACAGTTGGCTGAATGGCCTCTTGTCTGTTTTCTTGCAGGCACCTGAATGACAGTGAGCTGGGAGCAGCTTCCTTCTGGCTCCGGGTTGCCTTGGGAGCCACTATGACTGCCCTGGTAGGATTCACACTTTACAAAGTGCTGGTGAAGAGCAAATAAGGAAGAGGTGGACTTGGGCCCTCCACCTGTGCCTAACTCAAGCACCAGCTTCCTTGCCTGAGAACAAACATGCGCAGGGGAAAGTGATCAAACTGGCCCAACCCAGGACCCCAGGGAGAAAATCCTTCATTTCCCCAACTAATTACAGTATCAGCAACAAAGAGCTACAAGCAGGACCATCTGGACCACATACCATCAACCAGCACAGCCAAGAGCCCTTCTCTCCACATCCACGTGTTCCTAGGAGCCAGTGCTCTGCTGTTCTGTGTGACCCCCAACACACTGTGCTGGTAAAGTGGCACGGTCTTCCTTTGCCGTATCTGGGCTTCACCTGAGCCTGGAGTCCAGCCATTTTGAGGCTGAGAGGCCACCAATGTCTCTTTTTAATGTCGTTTTTAAGACTGACTCGGACTTGAGATGGCCACAGGGTGCCCTGAGGAAGCTGAACATTTTTCAGGCAAGATGGCTTCAGTGAACACTCCCATCCTGTCTCCATATTCACCAAAGGAGCTGATGTTTTATATTGTGGCATAATACACAAGGACTTTGTCTACTGGAATTCTGACTGTCCTGTGGCTGGAGGCACCTTGGCTTCTCAATCCTTTGGAATGAAGCTGTTGAACAGGCTTGCAAGTTACCCTTGTCCTCAGGCCTCTACCAGGAAGCAAAGGGCTAAGTGGGTTTAGGAATTTCCTGCCATTAGAGATTGACTTACAGAAGGTGCCATGCAGAGGGTGATCTGTAGCTGTTGCAATTCTCTGTCCTCTGGTATTTATTTCCTTACCCTTCCCATGAATGTGGGGAGACTTCCTGCATCCTTGCCCACGTTAGATGCAGCGTGACCCTGCAGACTGCTGGTACTCAGCAAAGCTGCTCTTCTCAAAGCGTGCCGAGACCTGGGAATGCTTGTGCCTCCTCCAGCAATGCTGGCAGGTTTGAGCTAATGCAGTAACAAAATAGGCTTTGCACCATTTCTGCAACCCCTTGCAAGCAAGGAGTATAAAGCCTTTGGGAGCCTCAGTAGCCCAGCGTCTTGTGTGGCTTTGCATAGCAGCTGCCACTTGGTCTGCTTCGTGTCGAGCTGCTCTTGTACTGGCTGACATGCTTGGGTTGCAAACGCTGCGGGGAAGCCAGGGCCAGATTGGAGCTTCCCCATGGGTTTGTATTGACTTCTGTGTTCAGTGTTACAGATTCAGGGCTTTTCATTTTCATTCAGGGTGCATTGGGGTTGCATTCTGGGTGCAGCCCCTGCCTGCCAGTGCTCCAGAAAGGCTCTGCAAGGTGCCAGCCTCCCTCCTGGGCCCTGCCACTGATCCTGTGGCAAATAGGGATTCCCAGTTGCCGGTTCAGGTCAGCTTGGCAGAGCTACCTGCCGGTATCATGTTTTCTATTGAACCTTTTTGTAACTAGTCCTGCCCTGCAGGGTACTCAGGATTCCCATCAGTTGGCTCTTCCATCAGCCAGGTCCCTGCCTCTTTCCATAAGACCATTTGTTCCCTCTTGTACTTACCATCCCTGGGTCACCAGTGTTAACAGATTAACAGACAGCAGTGGAAGTATGATAACCTCGAAGGTGATGGTGTGGTTGGCAATTCACTGTCTGATTTTGCTGGAAATTACTGTGCCTGGAGCACCGGCAGAACTGTGGAGCATCCACTGGGAGATGCTGTGTGATGTTATCGTGTGTTGACCACCATTTCCTGTGGGATTTGTGCTCCTGGTACGGATCTTTGTGAGCTGAATGTTTTTAGGTAAATAGCCAGCATCTGTGCTCCATCCTCAGCAGCCTTTGGCTGATCAGCAGCAATATTTTGTATACAAAGTTTTTTACGTGAAGTTTCCTGGCTAAACTGGAAGATCTTTCCCCTCCCCAGCTTTCTCTGGCACATGAGTCCAAAATAGCTGGCAGAAGCAGAGACTGTCCGCCCTTTGTCTCACCTGCTATGTCTTCAACACCACCTGTGATCTCATCCACCCAGCATGCGTGTCTGGGTTTCTCAAGGACAAGGACACTGTCTTATCACCAGCCAACCCAGGCTTTCCTTCATCTTCCATGAGGTTTCCACTCCTTGGAAGCCCATAAAAGCTACTGGTTAAATAAGTGACACTAGTTCTTCAGCATTTCAAGCACTCAGGGTAGGCTTGTTTACAGTATGATTGTGGGTGCCCTGCTGCAATAGCCACCTGTGTTCTTGTATATGCATCTTATTGTTTAAAATACCCGAGAGCTGGAATGCATGGGTTTATCTTGCATTTAGATCCTTTTATATAGAGGGTCCCTTATGACTGGGCTTCAGGGTCTTCTCTTCCTGACTGGCTGAGGTGAGAATTGATCTGGAGGAAGCAGCTCTGGTCTCATCCTGAGCCTGTTCCAGTAGCCACCTGAGGAGGGAGCTGACTCTGAGCTTACATTGCCACCTGTCCTTTCTGAGCCTGAGTGGTAAAGAATATGCATGTGCTCCTCAAAGGTGCTCCCAAGCTGTCAGCTTGTGTCAAATGCATGTATAGACTGCAGCTGGGATAATTTTAACCTCTGGAACTGCCTCAAGTTTTTGGAGGCCTTGGTTGTAGGCTTAGAAGTTGCCAAGCAGTGGAAGAGGAGCTCTCAATCAGCTGTTTGAGGACAGATCGCAGAAAACTAGGACTGGGAAGGACCTCAGGAAGTTGATTAACCCAGACCCCTGCTCAAGGCAAGATCATCCCTGTCTACATCATCCTGGCAGACACATAGTTGTTTAAGCTCCTTGAAAAAACTTACAGGATCTCAGAACAGATGCATGTCCAGGCCTGTTTGCCCAGCTCAGCAAGTTGCCCCATTTCCACACCTCTGTTTTGTGTATCAGAACTCAGAGCTGAGCGGTGGTGCCCTCCTGCTGGCCATGTGATGGGGTGCTCATTAAAGCAAGGCAGAAATGTCACCTAGGAGAGAGAGCATTTTTGTTGTAATATAGACTCTGGACTGAGACAGGAAGGTTTTCCCAGAGATCCCTCCTGTCCGGCCCCAGGACAGATGCAGCTGGTGGTATTTTATCATTCAGGTAGCAGCGCCCAGCTGCCCCTGTCCTCAGGGCAGATCAGAGCTGTGCTCTGCTCTGGGTTTCCTGGGCAGACTAAACTTGTTACTGTCTGTCATGCCAGCAGGTGGCTTGGTACTGATCAGTGAGCTGAGCTTTCCCTAGAAGCCACCCTCATGGCAGGGTTGTCCTGGTACTGGTGTAAAGTGGAGGGCTCTGCCTTGGGGAAATCTTCCGTAGGCATCTTGTGCCTGGTGAGAGTGATGTGTCTATCATGTCAGGATCTGTAAGCTTCTGGGTGGATTACTGCCAGGCCCCCAGTGGCCTCATCTGCTCTCCTGCAGCAGCCAGGTCCATGTTGAACAGTCCGTTCCCCTGGCCATTCCCCACTCCCTGTTTGACTGGTAAGTCTGATGTCCTCCTGCAATGGCCAATGTGGAGTCTGTTGTAGGAGACGCTGCTGAGGTGGAGAGCCTGGAAGGTTTCTTCCCTGGACAGTGCTTTCCAACAGCATTTCAGATCCTGTAAAGCCATATGATTTTATCAAATTAATTCTGTAAGACAAAATAAATGTTTATGCGCCTTCTGGCTGTAGAGTGCCTGGCTTTTCTTGTCTGAGGGAAGGAAACGGGGCTCCTCTGTTATGTTACTTGCAGATGAAGCCATCTGGATTAATCCTTGCTTGGTAATTCAGCCAGAGACATACCGCAGCTGAAGACATGGGACCATTTGTTGTTTGGCCGCAGCCAGATTCTTTACAAATAGCGTAGGAGATGCCTACTGGCTAAGATAAGGCAAACCAATAGCTACCGCCAAAAAAACTATAAGCAGTTTGTCTCTGCTGCCATGTTGGCTTTCAGCAGCTTCCAAGATCTGAAATCCTGGAGGTCCAAGATCTGATATACGCTTTAAAAATAGAGCAGTGCTATAGCAGAAGTGCTTTCCCTGCACCCTCTCTCCTCCGCGGTCTCATCAGAGGAGCTGCGTCAATGCTGCAGCTGTTTATTAAGACTAAACAAATTTGCATTGCCTCTGTGGCCCCTAGTGTGTGCATTTCCATCAGTATTCAGGCCAGCAGCTTGTGGCTAGGCAAGTTGATGGGAATGATGAGTATTAGGTGGACACTAGCAAATATTTAAGCGAGGTAAACGAACTCATCAGTGAAGTCCCTGGAAACCTGATTGTACACCAAGTTCCACTTACCCAGTTCAGGAACTGAAATCCTCCATGCAACCTCATCCAAAGCCAGGCATCACCACTTGAATCGTGCTTTCAGCCAAGACAGGTCTTCATTGCAGCCTGCTTCAGTGATGCAGCAGTGGTGTTCCCTGCTTATGAGTTTGATGACTCCTGAGGAGGGAAAAGCAGCACTTACCAAATTTGGTTGTAATCACCTGCTTCCAGCAGACAGCCCTTCTTTGCTGCCATGTGGAAAAAGGACTCCATTTCTGCCCCCAAGACCTTCCACTGGAATAGCTGAGTAGAAGATGGAGGGAGAATGGAGAGCAGGGTGGGCATGTGCAGTAGGGCATGGAGGTAGGTGTGTGCATGTCCCCAGAGGCCCACTCCAGCGGTCAGTACCTCAGTCTTCAGGACGGGACATGGGGGCTGACAGCCTGCAATGTTCCCCTCCCACAGGCGCTGAGCCTTGGGGCTCTTCTTCGTGGTGGGAAGGCAGCTACAGCAGATGGAAGATTAAATGAAATCTCATGGATGCTGCTAGGTAAATTCTCATAAGACTTTTCTGGACCTGGGCTTCCTTTTCCAGCCTGGTCACATGTCTGCCCCTTGAGAAAGGGCTTTCCCTTGGAGCCTGTGGACTGCGCACCCTCCAGGATGGAAGGCAGCCCTTGACCGGGGAGGGGGCCCACCAGCATCCATGCCATGCAGCATGTGAAGTGGCAGCGGCACTGAGGCAGATCCTGTCTCCTGCCTGCCCCAGCCCTCTTGACCCCGGGCTGTTTGGCAGCTCCTTGCTGGAGCTCTGTCACTCCCAGCACCTACTTCTGGGGAGGACATTGTGGCATTTCCACCCTCTGACCTCCACTGCAGAGAGTAATTGCTCCAGCGCAGCTTGGGGAGACCAGGGATTTAGGAGTATCCCTTGGAGGGGGTTGCCATGGCAACCCTTTAGCTTCTGTCACAGCCATTGTCGACCCAAGGCGGCTGGTGGCAAAACGCCCACCATCTCCTCCGCCTCCTGGCTCTGGAAGGGAGGCTGGAGGCAGGCCTCCCAGGGCGGCAGGTGTGGGTGGGATGTTAGCAGTACTGAGCACGGCGCAGGGCTGCCCCCGCTCTGCCTCCGCTGCCTCTGGGCAGCGCGGAGACCCGGCAGTTCCCTGCTCCCCCTGGACACTGCATGGAAAAGATCAGGAGGGCGTACGCCACAACCAGACTCTCCGAGGAGCCCTGGCGCCCAGCCTGGCCTTCTAGTCACTCCCCGGGAAACTTCAGGAGCAGGAGTGCAGGTTCAATGCTCAGCCGTCTCCAAGATGCAGGGAGCAGCTCTGCTGCCCAGGGTGGGGCTGGGGACAGGGCACTTCCATTGCACATGGGCACTGGAGTCCTGCCCATGCGCTCTCTGGGCCTTGATATGCAATGACTTGGGTTGTGTGGGGTAAAGGCTGAGGGCAGCCCTCACCCCCCACCCACCACCATGCAGGTCTGAGGCGTGACTGAGCTCTCTGGGAGGGCACTGTGCTGCCCCCAGGCACCAGAGGCCCGCCTCCCCCAGCCCCTCTCCAGATGTGGGGGGAGAGCCCTGCTGGTAGGAGCCTCTCAGGCCGGGCCTGTCCTGCTCAGCGCAAGCAGGAGGTGTCGACTGGGGGAACAGAGCTGCTGGTAGCAGGAAATGGCTGCCAAGGCAGCAGGTGCTGGGGGTGGAGGCAGTCCCACCTGTGCCAGGAGGAGAAGGGATATTGCACCAGGGCATGCCGTGGACCAGAGAACAGCTGCCCCCATCTGAGCAGGACCAAAGCAGGAGGCAGTGCCCTGGCTGGACTAGCATCTGAGCTCTCTGTGGGGGAGCACGAGATGGTTGGGGCCAAACCCACATCTAGGTCATCTGCAGCCAGGGGGACAAGGAAGTCTTTGAACAGGAGCTGAGCTACTCTCCCCATTGGGTGACTCCAGGAGCTGGCACTCAAAAACGCTGAGCAGGGACCTGGAACAGGCTCTGCTGGGGAAGGAGAGAGACAGGACACAGCAGCACCAGGAGCTGAAGCCGGGGGTCCTGAGGCTGGTTAGCATCTCGCAGCTGGCAACCTTGGTGAAACAGAATGGGATGGATCTGGGCAAGAAGAGCCCACTCAGTGGCACGTGGAAGCCAAGACAAGCACCTCTGCTGGTCTGTGCTCAGATGCTCTTTGCGCACAAAGTGGGGAAGTAGCTGGGGCAGAGAAACAGCAGCAGGACTCCTGGGCTCTATTCTCATCTGCTATCAAGGCACTACATGAATGTGCATGGTCCAGGCCCTCCCAATGCTGCAGTTTCCCCATCAGCACAGTTTACAGAGTGCTCTGGTGCTGCAGGGCTGAGTTGTGCCCTCCTGCATGGTGCCATGGTCACACAGTGCCACTTCCAGCCCATCTGCTCCCTACACAGCCTGGCCGCTTGCTGCCGCCTGTGCTGCTGGGCTCCTTCCAGCAACAGGATAGCAGGGGGAAGAGCTACCACTGAGCTAGGGCTGGGAGGCATTGTAGGCAGCAGCTAGGGCCTAGCGCCCTGCTGGCTTCCCCAGGGGGTGGCTTTCATCCCCAAAACTGTTTTTGCCTTTGGAATAAGTAATCGTGGAGGGGATGAGTCAAGAGGGGGCTAGGCTGGAGCAGCACTTGGCAGGGGAGATGGGACCACAGCTGGAGCCAGGGTGTGGGGCCAGGACCTGCACATCACAAGCCAGCACAGTTTGGCTGGTGCCACACTTTGTCCCAGGAGCCAGCCCAGGGGAGAGGCTCCTGCAGGCAGATAGAAGGGGAGAAGGCTCCCCATGCCAGGGCGAGTAATGCCTTGGCCAGGACCCATCGCTCCATGGTGCCAGGTAGCTGCAGTGGTAGCAGGTTCTGGGCCTCCCTTGCCTTGGCTGCAGCAGCTGCTTTCATAGCTGGCTGCAGCGCACTGGGCAGTCATCTTGGCCTCTGTAGTGATTACAAAAGGAGTCGCTGAGCTGCAGCCTCAGTCTGCCCAGGACACCAAGGGGCCTGTAGCTTTGCGATGAGCGGCATGTTGAAAGTGAAATCACTATCACAGCCTTGTAGCTATAGAGCCCCCACGCCACAGCCCTGGTCATGGTGCAAGGTGGCTGGGCCCTCCAGGTTGCTGAGCTCCTCTCCTCACGGGCAAGTTCGCTGCATCCTCAGGAAATCCCAAATGCCAACAGATGCCAGCACTGCCCCTTCACTCCCTGGGCACAGCAGGGCTCTGGGACCCTCGGCCTGCCACTGCCCATGGCACCACAGTGACTGGCTGGTGCAGGTGCTCTGTGACAGGGGCTTTGGGCTATGGCACAATAATGCAGTCTGCGCTGCTGGCTGCTGGGCTGGGCTGGGCTCCTAGCATCTGTTTCTCTTTCAGTAACTCTGTCCCGCAGTCGCCTTCCACCTCTTGCTGTAATGGCCTTGCCCTTTCCCTCACCACTGGCCTTTCCCCTAACTCCATCTCACTGAGCCCAGTGTGACCAGACTGGGCTCAATCCTACAGTGCTGTCCAGTGAGCTCACCCTGGAGCCTGTGGACTGAGCACCCTCCAGGATGGAAGGCACCCCTTGACCAGAGGGGCCCACCAGTGTCCATGCCATGCATGGGTGCTCTTCCTGCAGGTGCCAGTAGGATCTGAGGCATCCCCAGAAATGCCCTGGGAGAAGGGGAAGGTCTTGTCCTATCTCACTCCTGAGGTACAGGACTGGGCTCCATGCTGGGGGCAGGCCAGGGTTGGGGGTGAGGGCATTAAACAGACACTGTTCTCTGTTCTGTCGCTCACATCCTGAGATCCCCAAGCCTCTCTGGGCCTCAAAGCCACTCTCTGAAGGTGAGTAGCAGCATTGCCAGCATCTGGGGCAGGCAGGGGCATCCAGACATTGGTGACAGAGCGCTGTGCCCTTGGAGGGCTGCACTGGGAGATCATCA